TGTGGAAGATGCCGTTCCTTTTGTGCTGCACATCTGGTGCTGTGAGGATCAGGTGTTTTCTATTTCAACAATATCCAACCACTCCTAGAGACAAACTAACTGAGATGGAGTGGACCCAGACCTCTTCTGAAACAGTGACCAGCACAGGACACAGTGTGCTCTCCTGCCTCTTTCACCTTGTACTCTTCAGACCTCAAATACAAATCACAGTCATGGAGAAGGTTCAGATGGGCAAAGAAATGTCATGGTCCATGGTTGATCACACCTCTTAGTATCTTTATCTTTAGTTTCTTTCAGTTAATGTTTTTATTCTGTTTAGTTTCTTGCTATTTCCTTAGTCTTTCCTCCGTGCCCATCTGTGTCAAGCTTGTATGTTTAGCTTTCAGTTTTACTTTCTCTGGTCTCATTTACCCTGTCTACTTTTATTGGCTCTGTGCATTGTTTCTCAGCTCTGATCACTTCCAGTTCAGTAGTTATTCTTTGTCAGTGTCAGTGTTTTTCTGCCAGTTAGTTTTCTGTCTGTTTTCCTGCTCTTTTGTTACCCTTCGGACAGTTTCTTCGTTTGGGGATCCTCTTTCACAACTCATGATAAGCATCCCTGGACCATCACGCTACAACCACCATGTTTGATTGTTGGTGTAATGTTCCTTTAACCTCCTAAGACCCGAACTCTTCCACTGCATGCATTTTTAATTTCTCTTTGATATTTGGTCACATTGGGGCCTGATGAATGTAAAAACAAAGAATTACCAGATTTTTTTTTAAAACTTATTTTTGTTTTTAAGAAAAATGAGAGCCACAAATGAGGATATTCGTTTAAAATTTTGATAGAACAGTAGCACTATAATGTCCTCGTAAGTGGATATCAGGCCCTTGTAGAGCAAAACTGAGTATTTAGGTCATTTATTATTTAGGTTATTTATTTAATCAGGTCCTAGGAGGTTATTGAAATGCTGTGTTAGTTTTATGTAACAGGACTCAAAAGTTCCAAAAAGTTCAACTTTTGTCTCGTCGTTCCACAGGTTATTTTCGCAAACGTCTTGGGGCTCATCAGGAAGTCTTTTAGCAAATATGAGATCAGCCTCTGTGTTCTTTTTGATCAGAAGTGTCTTCTCTTCAGCTACCTCTCCTCCTTCAGAATTACAGCATCCACTTCTGGCTGCTTTGTTTGAACATTAAGAGAATTGACACAAAGTCAAAACAAAGCTGGGAGCTAGCCAGAAGCTGTACACAAACAGTACCAGACCTGCAGTGCTGGAGCAAATCTGCCTCTTTTAATAATAAAGTTACTTATGTCCTTTTTTCATATTAAATCTACATGTGACTTTTTCCATCACCAGGATCTCTTCAACCAGCAACCCAAGTCTATAGCTCAGTGTTTCAGTCCTTAGCAAGTTTTTAGTTACATTTTTCTTTGCCTCTGCCAGAGGATTCTTAAACAGGTCTTTTGGATGCACATGTCCTTGCACACGATCGTGAAATCGTATAACTAAATATTCCACTCTTGAACTTTATCTGTTTACTTTTAATTTGAGATCTTACAAAATACTCAACCTGGTTCTTTCAGCTAAATTGCATCAGTTTCAGTGATTGCAGTGCCTTGTTGCAGACAGGGCAATGTTGCATTGATATCATACTGCATCTCTTCTGGGATTTCTTCTTCCAGCCACCGTTCCCATTTTATTTGTTTACATATAAAGTCGAATATTCTCTAGAGTCTATCAAACTACAGTACATAGTAGACACAACTCTGGGAACTGCCTATGATAAGATAATGCACATGTCTTTATAATAGGATGTATTTTATCCTCATTTCTCTTGTATCTGTATCTGTAAATATCTAAAGAAATCCTGGTTTGTAAGATCATATGTGATTTTTATATCTTGAAAACTCTGCCTTTGACCCTTTTTAGTAAGTGTACACATGGCGGTAATACCTTTTCCCACAAACTGTTTAAAGCTGGCGTCAAACATCCCCGGTTTGAATTCATCTTCATGGGTGATCCATCTTAGAGGTCCAAGTCCTTATCCCAATTACAACTGCTTTACAACTGAGTACCATTTATCTAAAGTAAACATTATTATTAGAGGCTTTATAGTCTCGGGCCTCAGTCTCACCAGTACTGGCATGGATCTGTTTTTTTAAGGGCTTGAGTATCTTTCCTCAAAGCAACATCAGTAATATAACACTAATCAGAATCAGCATGCTTTATTAATCCCTAGGGGAATTATATAGGTTACAGTTGCTCCTGTACCTTAATATTAACAAAAACAGACGAAACTATTTAACAATACAATATGTTAAGATATAAGGAACAGCACAATATATACAAATCACCAAATAATAAATATCCAGGTTTGACAGATGTGATTATAAATAAAAAAAATTGACAGCAGCATTACCGAGTAAGAAAGAGTGTGTGCAAAAAGGATGCAACTATTTCAGTGTTTACAGTGTTTAGATGGAGGAGTTTTTAGTAATCTCAGTCTCTCACTGAACGTGCTCCTATAGCTAGCCAGCATGTCATGGAGTGTGTGGGAGGTATTATCCAACATTGTCTTTATCTTGGACAACATTCACTTCTCCGACACCACCTTAAGAGAGTCCAGCTCCATACCCAAAACATTACTGGCCTTGCGGATCAGTTTATCGTGTCTGTATAGACATACAGAGTCCTTATCCCAATTACTGTAGAGACATACAGACTCAGACTCAACATACAGACATGCATGATAGACAAGTTGTTGTAGTTGAGCTTGAAAATCCTCTTATATTTGGAAGTACCATCCATCATTTTCTTCCTATTATCCGGGGCGGGGTCATGGGGTTTGCAGCCTAAGCAGGGAAGCCCAAACCTCCCTATCCCCAGCCACCTCCTCTAGCCACCGTCGACCTCTGAGATGCTCCTCATGTAATCTCTCCAGAGTGTCTTTGGTCTGCCCCGAGGCCTCTTCCCGGTCAGACATGCCCAGAACATCTCACCCAGGCTCAGAAGTACCATTAGATCTTTATTTTTAGGTAGTTGTAGTATAGTGTGACAGATGGTCTCTTTCTATCCCATATACATCTAGAAATGAGCTTATCCCATCTATAGAAATTGAATTGGTGTTATATCTGCTGGCACTGATTAAAATAGACATAGTAATAAATAACTAGAAATAAATTAACAAACAAAGAAACAATAGAAGATGTGGCATATATCCAACTTTGTTACAGTTAATTCTAACATTTAATCCCAAAGGGTGGTTAAACCATCGTTCAAAGTCTTTTCTTATGTTGGTATCAATATAGTCATGATTGCTTTGGTATAGTTTTGACAGATTTCTTTTTTTTAGTTACATTCATTTATTTGAGAGCTTTATCTTCTTTTGATCTGTTAAAGGGCTGGGTACTTGCTAAATATATCTAATATTTGGATCAACTGAGTACAGGGGTAAAGAAATCATAACACTGTCTATGAACGAGCTAATGGTGTGTATTTGATTGTTATCTGTTATTCCAGTTATGAGTTTACTTTGCTGGATCATTTGGGCAAGTTGTTCAATATCCAGAGAAACAGCGAAGGACTGAGACAACAGGCCCATCTAATCCCCTCTCTACTACAAAGCTCTTTATAAAGGATCCTTTGACTTTTATGCTGGCTGTGGGTTTGTTACAGAGAGACCTAATGCACCGAATTGATTTTAATCTCGCCTGCTTTCAAGCATAGAGACACAGGAATATCGACTGAAGATGGTTCGCATCACATTGACACCTACCCCAGCCTTCCAGAAGCCACAGTTATTTCAGGCTGGAGAAATGATCCTCATGAGATGTAATGAATTGGTGAAGTGCAATTATTGTTGCAGAAAAGAAGAACAATAAAAACTCACTGGATGCTTGTTCCTGGACTTCAAGCAGAGCTTGGGTTTAAGACCTTCATAAAGAGGTGCCAGTGAGCAAGCGGCCACATACTACAGGGCTGGCCTTTTACTGCAAGCTCACCTCACCTTCCTGTCTCTCTTTGCTTTCACTATTCAATGAAGGCAAAAATGCCCCCCAAAATAATATAAAAGATCATCATCGCACAGCATTTCCCACAAGGGAGCCTACGGTCAGTAATAAAGCTCAATCAAAGCGAATCTTCTGTCTTCATATAGTTTCTAAAACTGACTGCAGACAGAATCTTGGGACTGATAAAGCACTACATGTCTGACATAGACTGGACAAAAAGGACCTGTATTGTGCATAATCTATCATTTAGGATGACCGCCCAAATGAACGTGTTTTATAATGAAGAGTTGTGTATTTCTGAAATTTTAGAAAGTAATATTTTACTTGTGTTGAAACATCATGTTGTATTTAAAGAAATTGCCTTTTGGAAATAAAGTTCCATCACCCAATCCTCAGTGGAAACTTTCAAACTAAAGTCTTAAAAATACACAATTGTTCAGGATGAGAGTTGTATGGAGGTGCACCTGAATCCTTGTTTCAAACAAATGTGTTGATGAATAGTAGATAAGCTTCAGTTAATATCCTGGTCAAGCTATAAGAGCTGTTGTCGAGTACACTGTGAAGACTCACATCTGTAGGTGCCTGCTTGACCTTACTTGGTTAAGCAAGCACCCACAGATGCAGAGACCAGGCTTTGAACCTGCCCCAAATCCATTTTAAGCGTGTTTTCCCCTGGTCTGTGTCTCGGCTTACCAACATTCTCTCCACTGTCCTATCAAAATAAAGACTAAAAAGCTCAAAACACATATTAACATATACATAGGCAAGTGATTTAGGTGTATCATGTTTAATATGCATTTAAAAACGCATTTCTGTAGTGATTTTTTAATTCTTTTGTTTTTCCATCTACTGCACCATCATCAGCATTAAATGATGCTCGCTGACTTGTTACAGTGGACCGGATGGAAACTTTTAATGCAGAAAACAACAGACTAGGCATCACAACAGAGGCTGGTAAAAACATTAGGAAACTAAGCTTTCTTTCATTCCATTAATTCCATAAAAATGCAAATATTACATCTTTCTAGTGCATTTATCAAGTGACGACCATTCTCACAGCACCAACAGCTCATATATAAGTGTTTGGGTGACAGGACAGTCTAACTCAAAATTCCTTATGTCCATGAATTAGGACATGGGCACCTTAATTTGGGTCATCCAGAACACCCGTTTACAGTAACGTGCAATATTAGCACACAAATTCAACACAGGACAGCACAGGAAAAATCCACATTTTAATGCACTATATGTCCAAATGCAAATTATTATTTTTAAGCATCAAAACTTGTCCTGACACTCAAATGAACCATATCTGTAGCAAACTGCGTCTCCAAAAGCTCCCACAGCCACTTTGCTAGATGTTCTTGTGGACTTTGAGATGTATTTTCAGGTTGGATTTCTGAGCAAACGTCTTGTGACATGTTACACAGCTATGAGGCTTCTCTCCTGTGTGCATAAACATGTGTTTTTTCAGTCCTGTACAACTACTGAACATTTTGTCGCATTGTGAGTCAGGGTTTTTTTTAAATAACTGAACAGCATTTGCATTAAAGTACACCTCTTTTCTTCTTTTTCATTACCCCGCAGCATACCTGAGACACTTGGCACTGGGCACAACTCTTCCAGTCGATAGAAGAACTCCCAATGACTGATCTCGAAGTAGCATTTGAATGAGATCCACCAATGGTGACTTTGAAATCTCCACCTCTTCATCTTGTTACTCTCACAAAGCCAAAAGGTATATTTACATACAATAAACAGTAATATCAGCATCTAAATTTGACAGCAAAATCACTTTTATAGTGCAAAACATGTCAAACTAAGATGCTTAGTACACTGCATCTTACTTCTGCATCCACGTGGTTTGTTGTATTCTGCTGGAAACTGTCACCATCATTCGTCTTCTTCACTATTTCAAGAATGAGCTGAAAGACATAAATTGGTACATTTATACTCGAGTCTTTACTTTACCCAATACTGGTGACTCACCGGCCTGCAGCTGAACTATAGTCAAAATTAAATACACACTGGCTTAAAGTGATTAACTAATTGCGCTTCCTGAAGTTACCAACAAGCTGCTGTAGGTTTGCCTTGAAGGATTAATTTAGAACTTTTCAAGGCTAAATAAATGAATTAAATGCATTTATTTGGTTTGGTCCTTCTTCATTCTGACCAAATGCTGTAAAATGTACCCAAAACAATTATAGATGCTCCTCAAAAATGTAATAGTACTTTTTTAAGATACAAAAAGAAAAGCCACAGATGCACACAATGAGTTCTGATAACCACAGTCACTCACCTGGGCCCTCAGTCCAAGGATCAGCTGAGTCTTACGTTTGTAGCCCAGGAGGTCTGGGATAATCTCTGACACCAGTGAGATGAATTTGGACAGTTTTCATACTCCCCTACTTTTCTCTCCTGAGCAACCTGCCACATACACTCTGACATCAGCCTGAAAGGCGGAACCAAGAGGTTCAGGGAGGACAGGGGAAGACGGAAATCTGACAAACACCACATTATCACCTTACAGCACTATACTGAGAGTTCTGCAATAATGAATACTGCGACTTATCACCTTTTTTTCCAACTGCAAATTATGCCCTCAAAACTTCGTCAATATGCATTTTATCCAATAAGATAATGTTTTCTTACTTTAATCATTACGCTGCAAAATGATAAGATAAGATAACCTTTATTAGTCCCACACGTGGGAAATTTGTTGGGTTAGGCTGCTGACCTTTGCCAGCGCCATCTTACCCTTCCGACCATACATACATACATTACTACATCACATGGGGAAGACAGGTCAGAGAAGTATAACAATGGAAAATGCACAACATGAGGAAAGACGAGGAGAAAATAATTACTCCCCCCCCCCAGACTGAGCTCCAACAGGGTGTAGGTCTGTGTCAGTGTACATGCATATTTGTGTTGGCAAAAGTCAACAGTCTTCGGTCGACGCGCGTGGCCTTGAATGAGGAGGGAGAAAGTCACAACACAGTCTTCTTATCTAAGGGAGAATTGTTATTCCCATCAGCTTTTGCCTTGAGCATCCAGCTGGCGCCAGAGGGCCGCATGAGATGAAGATGGTAGCTGTTTTGGTTAGTGCGAACAAACTGCATCCAATTTTACTCTTGGTCTAATGTCCGTCACTGGTCACCAGGTCTCTCAATTCCTGTTGTTCTTCTTCAAGATGTTATCCATATAGCAGAGCCACGAGCTTCTCCATGATCTTATCCATGTTGCGTTCAAAAACACAGTCTGAGTACTCACAGCCCTGCCCATCGCCTATCATGTTGGCCAGCCTTGTGGGATTTTGAACAGCTGTAGCCGCTTCTTGTTCTTTGATAAGCCAGGTCCAAGCTCCAATCAGCCAGAACTCTGTTATCGTGGTTCCGAATTGGTAGATGTCGTTCAATGTCCTCCATTGAGAGTGTCGCCACTGACCATCGAGTATCCAGCAGCAAACGTCTCTGAGGGACAATCAGGCTCTCCCAAGCCCAGGAGGGTGTCAGTTGCATTAAGGGGCCAGTTGATCAAATTCATAATTCTTCTTTAGGTTTTTAGAGAACAAGTCTGGGAGACTCTCTTAGAATCAGAATCAGAAGGGTTAGAGAATAAGCGAGACTATACAAAAGACATGAGATGCCAAGCAGGAAAGATAAGGGAGAGGGAGAAAGTGCGACGCCTCCGTCAAGAGCCAAACATAACCAACACTGTCATAAATTCTTGACATCAGCAGTTAAATGGAATGAAATCGGCGACTCAGTATTGGGTGATTTTTCAGTTCCGACGATTTAATCCAAGTTTGCTCGGCTAACGCTATCCTAGGATATTGGTGCACTTGTGCTCTTTTCACTGTATTTCCACAGTATTCTAATTTATTTAATGAAATATTGATATCTGGTGTCCCTGTATTGATACAATATTGCAAATTAACACAATACGATGGCTGTATTGATATGCCACAAAAATTTCACCATGTAGTGGCACAGATTTGTAGAAGCTTCTTCCCACATGTTAAACCACACAGACGCAGCTATACAAACATGTTCCACTTATGGTGCAAGAGCTCAATTGTGACCACGCTTTTAAATGTTTATGGACACTGCAGTTGTTACTGTCAGCACAGTCTGTGTGTCAAAAGCTACATCAGAGTTGCCCTTGTTCATTGCACACAGGCCTCGAGGGAGAATTCAGCCGAGACAGAAATGGTAAGATAAATTCATGAAATAATAACAATACAAAATATATATTTATATCCTTATTTATCAAATTACATGAGCAGAACCAGCAATGTTGAAGCTCATTAATACTACAGTTCAAACAAATGCACCCCTTGGACCTTTGGCCTTCTTAATAATCTTCTTAATCTCCTGGAGATCGTTTTGAATAAAATCCTCAGTGGCTGTGGATGAGGATTTTTTCACGACAGTTGTTGATGCTGAGAAGGAGGGATTGAGTGGAGATGGCAACCCCTCTGTAGGCAATGCTGTTGAGCAGTGCGGTGAATCGCTGAGATCAACAGTTTTCTGGAGCAGGGTGACTGTATTGCTGCCTTCCTCTTCCTGCAACAAATAAGAGCTTGTTATAATTTCATGTACATTTGCACATCAGATGTAAAAGAAAATGTTCTTAAACCACCGATCTTTTCAGGTCAGCTATTCATTGAATGCTTGTTCAGCATCCTCATCAATAAGGGTCTCAGTGGAAGGGTGTATGTGTGTTTGCATATTGCTCAACGCTTTGGTACTAATAAGGTACCTTCAAAGATAATTGACATTGCCTCTTCTGCAGACTTGGCATTTAACTCCCAGTGGCTCACAAAGTCGGAGAGCCAGCCCATCAAGGAATATATATGGGGAGCAGAAGCAAGGTTGCACAGTTTCTTCTCTTCAGCTGCAGCCTCTTCCTCATCTTCACGAATTTGTCTCTTAAAGATTTCCACTTTATCCAACAAACACTTTCACTCACTCCCAAATTCTTTGCAATTTCCCTCCACAAATTGCTGTCCTTTTCCACGTCTCTATTATGTGTTAAGGACCCATCGTAAAGACACGGGCAACGTTGCACCTCTTCACACAATCTCATAACGTCTATTTGAATTTTTGCAGGTTGGGTTAAAGACATCCTCTGAATTTCTGCCTATAATGAAGACAAAAGAAAGAAAAAGACATTAAACAAACAACCTAAAGGTTTCTCACATGACATCACATGCACTCAGGAGCTGTGTGCCATTTTGACACAACCACTCCATTCCCCGACTGCCTTTTTTGCTAGCGCACATCTTCTTCACAGGATCCACAGGAATCATTTTTTCAGTTGAACCATACATTGAATTTTAAAAGGTCATTTCTTTAGCTTTGGGCACAAATGACCAAATTCCTTTTTCTGTCCAGGTTCCTAGAAACAATGATTTTATTTTGGAAAGAATATTTATTATTCCAAAGAGGTCTATTAGGCAAAGTAGTGCAATCACTTGCAACACAATGCTTATTTCTGTGAGTTAAAAATGATAACAGAATTTTTATTTTTCGCAAATACACAACAATGGCTGTATAAATTACACGTTTCACATTAGTGGGTGGGTCGCTGTCAGAAGTCGCTGTGCACGTGCAGTTGCCAGTCACACGCGCTCCTTCTTCTTTAAATACAAGACGACGGAGGTGAGAAACACGACAAAAGCCCGTTTTTGTTTTTTCTTTGTGTTTTTTTTATGTAAACCTAAGTCCTTTAATAATATTATTAAAAACGTCAGTAAAGCTGCGTTCAATTTACCTCGAATGTCCGAGGTGGGAGTGTCATTGCTCAAGGTGAGCGCGTTCCAGTAGTAAAGTCAGAAAAGCAAAGAAAATGAGTATTTCTTTTGCACCATAGCAAATTAGAACCATTCGTACATCGCTTGTAATACAGTACAGTGCTTTGTTTGTCGCACTTAAAAACAAAGCCCACCAGCCATGACAGCGACTCTAACAACAGTGATGTGTTCGAGGAACCGCATTCCGCCTTTTTCCTGGCTCGGATAAAACGGTTCCACAAGCTTGTTTGCGATTTCTCGCCACGATAACAAGCGTTAATCCGTTTGTTCTTGTAAAACTCATGATCGTACAGGTTGGGATAAAGGGCAACCTGCTCAGCCAACTACTTGTCAAAGCCATTGTGTGATGGTCCCGTTTGGGAATTTGTTATCACTCGTTCGTCGAGATTTTTCCTCTTTGGGATGAACTCTGGCAGTAGGTTTCTTTTCCGGTTTAACGCGGCGTCTTTTACCAATCAGCGTTCGACCTGGGCATAGCGTCATCCAAGTCGAGCGACTGTAGGGGAGGACGACAGGTAAGTATTAAAATTTTATTAACGTTTTTAATGTCTTTCTTCATTGTTACCGTCGTTCTCTCATTGTTTGTTGGGTTACTTAATTATTTCTTCTTCTTCTTCTTCTTCTTTTTTTTTTAATTTTACGGCATTTTTCTCTTTCCCCTATATGTTTGTGTATTTGTACATATACATTCCATAATTTATTTACATAGCACTTTAAAAAACAACACATGGCCGACCAAAGTGCTGTACAGCAGAAATACGAGAGAATACAAGAATTCTTGTATTATTACAAGCATAATAAATACAATAAATAAATAATAATACTTTTGTCTTAATTCAGGGGCGATTCTAGGTTTCAAACTTTGGGGGGGCTCAGCCCCCAGTCATAATGTCATGCATGTAGTAGTTGTATTTAATATTAATCAAATGTGCTGTCTGCAAATGGAATCATCCCTTTTCAAATTTGCAAACCTCTATTCCATTGGACTATTGAATACCTTCTGTCTAAGAATAATTCAGTGTGAATAATCAGAGATTTCAATACACCCGTTTTAGGGTGGAGCCTTTTGTTGCCAAACCCAAGGCAAAGGCTCAGTCATTAAAGAAGTCCAAGAACTCCCCAAAAGTTGGGGATTTACTTACCTGGATGACTGAGCATCAAGAAGTTAAAGAACTATTTGTGGCAAAGCACATCATTTCAGTCTCAGTCTTCAGTTAACCACATAGAGGCAGTCCTCCAAATCATCATGCACTTAAAGTAGCATTATTCAGTATAAACACTGAAAAATCATAGACAAAGGAAACTAGTAATAGAGTTGTTTTATTATGTTTTTAAACTTAAAATACAAATCCTCCTTTTGTTATGTAGTCTCAGCACAGAACATCATGTACGATAATTTCAAGAGTGGAGAATAGATTTGTAGTCCATCACATTAATGTAGTGGCAGTTATCATTTTCAGCCATGTTTAGAATGATATGAATCCTGCAAAATGCTATTAGTATCAATATACTCTGTTTATGCTTTGTTTACCAGCATTTTTACAGTGTGCTACTGGAAAGACAGCAAAACAT